ACCTGAAAATTGTATGGATGCATGGGCAGACTTGTTTAAAGAGTATTTTCCAGAAGACAATGTGTCTGCTGAATCTTATTATCAGATTCAGAAATTGGTATATAGTCTTGGGTTGCCCTCGGAGATGATAGACGTTTGCATCGACAACTGCATGATTTACTGGGGAGATGATGAGAAGTTAGAAGAATGTCGATTTTGTCAGAAGCCACGATTCAAACCGCAAGGTCGAGGGCGCAATAGGGTACCGTACCAAAGGATGTGGTACCTACCAATCACAGACATATTGAAAAGATTGTACCAATCTGAGGAGACTACTGGAGGGATGAGATGGCACGCCGAGCATACTCAGACGGATGGAGAGATGACTCATCCATCATATGCAAGAGCCTGGAAACATTTTAACAGTGTACATCCACATTTCGCTAGCAATAGCCGGAATGTGTATCTTGGATTATGCACTGATGGATTTAGTCCATTTGGAATGTCTGGGAGACAATATTCATTGTGGCCGGTCTTTCTTACACCGTATAACCTGCCACCGGAGATGTGCATGCGACGAGAGTTTCTATTCATGAGCATATTCATACCTGTTCCAAAACATCCAAAAAGATCTCTCGACGTTTTTCTACAACCACTGATAAAAGAGTTGAAAGATTTGTGGTCAACAGGGGTGAGGACATATGATTGTTCAGCGAAAACAAACTTTATGATGCGAGCGATGCTTTTGTGGACCATAAGTGACTTTCCTGCATATGGCATGTTGTCTGGGTGGACTACACATGGGAGATTAGCTTGTCCATATTGTAATGGAATGACAGATGCGTTTCAGTTGTAGCATGGTAGGAAGGCTAGTTGGTTCGATTGTCACCGTCGATTTCTTCCCATCCACCACCCATACCGAAGAAACAAGAAATTGTTCAGGCACAAAAAGGTTGTCAGAGACACTCCTCCTCCATATTTAACTGGAGAACAAATCGAAGCGCAAATCGATTACTACTGTGCTCTAAAAACAGCTCCTCGTGGTGGGAATTGGCATGTTCCCAGTAATATGCCTGATTTTTATGGTGTTCAGCACAATTGACACAAAAAGAGTATATTTTGGGAATTGCCATATTTGAAAGATATTCTTTTGCGCCACAACCTCGATGTGATGCATAAAGAGAAGAACTTTTTTGAGAACATCATGAACACTATATTGAGCGTCCCAGGGAAGACGAAAGACAAGGTAAAATCGAGGTTAGACTTACCCGATATCTGCTCAATGAGTGAGCTACATATAAAAAACAATGGACAAGTTCCAGTTCCAGTATTCAGACTGTCATCAGATAAAAAGTCTGCGTTGTTCAACTGGGTGGCTTCAGAAGTGAAGTTCCCTGATGGGTATGTTTCAAATCTCTCAAGATGTGTTGAGAAAGGGCAAAAGTTCTCCGGGATGAAGAGCCATGATTGTCATGTCTTCATGCAGCGACTACTTCCCTTTGCATTTGCGGAGCTACTACCGGCAAAAGTACATGAAGCACTTTCAGGTAATTAATTAATATAATACGATGATATGATTAATTTATTTCTGTATACATATATATATATATACTAATGTGGATAATGTTTGTTTTTGTAAATATATAGGAATTGGAGCATTTTTTAGGGATCTGAGCATCCACACACATAAAGTGGAAGTCGTCCAACAACTTCATGAAAACATCCATGTCTTAATCTGCAATTTGGAGAAAATATTTCCGCCTACTTTTTTCGACGTCATGGAACACCTAGTTGTCCACCTCCCGTATGAGGCATTACTTCGTGGACCTGTGCATTATGGATGGATGTATCAGTAAGAAAGGGCCATGAAAACTTTGAAAGGAAAAGCCAAAAACCTAGCAAGAGTTGAAGGTTCTATTGTTGCGGGAAGTTTGACGGAAGAAACATCACATTTCACATCATACTACTTTGCACCGAAAGTACGTACAAGGAACGAGCTCCAAGAAGATATGATGATGGTGGTGTCGTGCCGACATATATGGAAGACGATGTT